CTGAGGAGCTTCCGTTTACAAAGTACAAAAGTTAGTGTGTTTTTACTGGGACAGATATCCGACGTTGCCAGGTATGAAGACGAGGGACGGAATCACACCACGTGGCGATGTATTTGGTCTATATCCATTATCACACTCTATACCCACATTTATAACCATGGACGAATACCTTCACTCAATGTCTTAATTCAGCAGTTCCCAAAGTGAGGGGCGGGGCCCCTCAGTGTATGCGCAGCCATTGCCACAACAGGGAAAAATAGCACTGTGTGCATTTATTTTTTCTTAATTCAATGACAATAGCCATGTTGTTTGAATGAGCATTTGAAATAAAGTCCAGTTAAATTATGAAGAAATAATGGCAATGTCTGAATATGGAAGCTTTGGTGCTCACAGATTTGTGTTTGCTGCTGGTTGATGGTTTGATTACCAGCATCAGACAAATTGATGATTTGAATTTAAAATCCCTTGAATGGAGTATTTCTGTTTTCTTTAAAAATGCTAATAACACAACAATGGCTTAGGGACAAACAGAAGGGAAACTGAGAGAAAAAGAGTGATGCTTGTTGGACACTAAGAGGAGTCAGAAATTTTCCCAACTTGTACTCAGTTTAGCCCTTGAATACCAGGACACATCAGGATGGAGTGACAAATATCTGTGCACATGTTTGGGTAGGTAGTCATACACTAGATGGCTTCATAGTATTATCATATCCCATGCATGTCTGTGCTTGAATTGTGCACATAAAAAGTGACATTGTTCATGTGGCCATGTCCGTCCAGGAGACCATGGTTTTTAGCTTATTTTAAAGTGTAAAAATACTACTGCCTGAACTGATCTTACTCCATGAGGATTATTCACAACACCATTCCCACTTTGTTGTCTTGTAACGTACAGTACAAATACACAATATGTTCAGGAGGGGGCAGTGGTGTCTCTGTATAAAATGTGAAACATGGCTGCAACGGTGTCTTTCATTTTTGCGGCAGTTCATTTGGCAAAAGCTGCCTCTGGGTCATCCTTGTTTTTTAAATGCTGCTGTCATGAATTACAGAGGTATATGGCTGATTTTTCTTTGACATCACTATAAAAATCTAATCCACACACTGTTATATAACTTTCCTTACTTTTTGAACGTTAGATGGCGGTGACAAGTCAAAAAGTTATTTTAAACTTTTCCAGTAGCTTAAGCTATTTCATCAAACAGTTTGGTCAGACGTTGCATATACTGGATTTTACTAAGGGGCTCAATCGGCTGTATATTGACTTTTCCTCCATAACTTTTGAGCCTAACGCTTAGGCTGAAAGCAGAACCGTTTGTGACGATCAAACTAACTCTTTCCACATTACGCATCTTTAAGTGGTTCTCCTGGTTATTCCTCCACATCTATCAGTACATGTCTTTGTAGATCTCCTGCAGCAGCGGGTGCAGTGACGTGTCCTCAGTCTTTTTGATTTCCTGCACCAGTAGTGCATGCTCAGTGACAAGTTGTCGGAGGTCGACTAGTTTCTGCAGCAATTTAGGGAAAAGGAAAGTGTTGTCGGGATGATTGGTCAGCAGATGGAGCTGTAGAACCTGAATGATGCTCTCCTGCAGCCGTTCAATGTGTGTCACGTTCACAAGTCCGGGGCGATCTAAGCACGGCACAGGAAAGGTAGAGGTAGGAAAGTTTAGATAGAGCTTTCATGTTTTACTTTATATATAAAAATAAATAAAGGCTCACCTCCACAGCAGATAATAGCTGCCACAAACAGGGCCAGGTCACTGTCGTCCAGCTCCAGGGAGTTAAACTTCATGGCAAACTGGAACTTTGGCTCCATCATCTCACTAAACGGACGCCGTAGGCTCTTGAGGAACTCCCTGGTGATGAATCCCGAGCCGTACGCTACCAGAAGCCCGTCTTTGTTCATAGAGGAGGCGAGCATGGCAAAGATGGCCTCATGCACTCCGTATTTTAAAAGAGTCACCTGATCGTTGAGGTCCAGGTTTGAGAACCCGGGGACAGACTTTGCAAATTCGGTGAGTTCTGTCACCGTCTCCACCGATGTGCACTGGCAGCAGTGGAAAATTCGAACCTCTGCCTCCCTGTCCCTTAGTGCAGCAGCAGTGTCCACCATCTTTCCCAACACTGTCTGCTCTGCCAGCTGCAGCGTTTCCATGTCGTGGATGACGAATGGCTGTGGACAGTTGGAAAAAAAAAGAAAAAAAAAAAGAGTGTTTTCATGAGTGTAGAGTTGAAGTATTACCCAACTCAAATGCAAGTCACACGCAGTACAGAGTGTACATTGACCTACATACATTGACCCTACATGACTGCACAAAATGTGGAAAAACCTGAGTCGGCAAACTGTAGTACACGAAAACCTTTGGTGTCTGTTGTGGTTCATGCACAGCTTTTAATAAAGCGGTCGATCCCACTGCCGTTATTGACGTTAGAATATTTCCACAGTGGTACAGTTGGTCTCTTTGTCCCCGGAGCTGCATGAGTACACTGTGGTTGACACTCAAAACATCCAAAAGATATGCAGGCAGAAGTGTCTGCCTGCAAACAGCTTTGTTTTAGATGTCTGTGTAGGTGGCACTGACACCAAAGGAGGATTTCGTCAACGGTCAATAAAACCTTTTGGTTTTTTTAACAGGTGAAAGTTCAGTATCTCTGCGACAGGTACAGATTTCACCAAGAGACATGGTTTTTGCAATGGTTTCAATTTCTTTGAGCATAACCCAATAAATGCAGCAGTGATCACCGCAAAACCAGTTAAGTCGGACCATAAATCAGTAGTTCCTGTTTGAATCTGTCTGCTACCAAACTCTGATGTCGGTTGATTGGATACTTCTGCTCCTGGCAGGTTGCCACACTCTGTGGTGAACGTCTGCCTTCCACCTCTCTGTGGTCACTCATTCATTCCACAGCTTTGATCATGAGGAACTGTTGGAGGAAACCCCTGTTTGAACCTGATGTGCACTTTCAACAACCTGGTTCTTTTAACCCACTTCACGGCTACACATATAACCGCCATGGAAACTGCTGGTCACATTACTTCAGTCACATTCACCAGAACAGGAAAACACAAACGCAGCGCTTTAGAGACACGGATCGGTTGCAGAAAATCATAGTTCAACTTAATATACATATAATACATAAAACTTGCAGGACACAGAGTGGAGGAACAAACAGAAACAACACTGAAAGAACACAAAGTATCAACACCAAACAATGAGCTGACAAAAACAGAGGTGAGTGCAGGAGGTACCAGGTGACACAAGTAAGACTGACGAACAAAGAATCACAGGACACAGGTGAGAGTGATGACACTGATTACCCAGAGAAACAGACAGAAGGGAAGGAAGAAGGACGGATCTGACTTCTTTAGGATGAAAAGAAGGAGAAAACTGTACAGCAGAGGTCATGTTTGGGTGAATGTAGGATTTGGTTATGAAAAGATCCCTTGAGTGGAGAGAAAGAAGAGGTGGAGGCCAAATACGATGGAACTGACACACTGGCTCTTTATCCAGGTTGGGTGCAAACAGATGTTTCCCTGTTCAGACTACGCGCTGACTTGTCTTACACATTGAGCAAGTTACTTCTGTCAGTGTGTCGATCTGCAGATAAACCCTGGAGTAGTGGCTGTCAGCTTAGGTTGGGAAACTCGGTTGATCGCAAAGTGTCTCAACCCAGACTGTCATTAAAATCCCTGCCGTGGGGCAGAAATAAATTTAGTGCTGCAAGACGACGTGTGACAGAGCTGTGAGGAAACCGCTAATAAAATAAGAAATTACCACATGCACGCAGAAACACATACATCAACAGGGACGTGAACAGAGTGCTCTTGGTCAACTTACAGGGGTGCTGGCCTTGCCAGTAAGAATGGTTCTAGCCTTGGCCTTGTTCATGTTGAAGTTCTTGAGGTAGGCCTCGTAAATCTGCCGGGCCAGCGTTTTCTGGTCGGACAGCTGTGGGTCTTCAACCACTCTGTCTCCCGTCACCATTTCTGCCTTCAACTTCAGCTTCTCTGACTGAGGCATGCGGCCGAAGCGGATGGCTGTGGGCAGAGGGCAGAAAGAATACAGTCGGTCATATATGTGCAGGTTTAGATGTCCATTTATTGAGTATGAGACCAAGTCTGTTAGAGATACGGACTGTGGAACAACACAATTTTATTCAAAGATATTTGAGAAGTTGAGATGTAAAATACAGTGTTCTCTATGTCGCGGTTCTCCTTTCGCTCCCTCAGTACATCGCAATTTTTTAAAAAATCCGATCTCGTGAAATATAGCAAAAAAAACTAAAAAACATAATAATTAAAAATCATACATATGCAAGTTTTGGCTTCAAAAATGTGGATTTCATTTTGAAATTGAGATAAGCGCATTTGCGAGCGATCACTGCTAGCTTTGTTTGACTAGACGAGATTGTACACGGCATATTACTGGCTAATACTATGCGTACTCGGTGTACTGTTGGCTGACTGAGCATGCTCTTCTGTTCTTCATGCTGTTTGGCTCCTGCATCGTAGCATCTCCCCTTGTCTGTCCGCGCCTCTCTCGCTCTATGTCGCCATCATACAACTCTACTGTGCATATAATTGTGTGGGAAAAGGTGATACAGTCTAGGAAGGGTTGTTAACAGTGTGGTAAAGGGTATATATATATATACGTAAATAATATTATAGCTAACTCGCCTCTATTTTTCCCATTTCGCAGTGGTTCTTTGAACGCAACTGTACTCCCTTTCTCTATAGACGTTCACAAACATTCAACAAGTTGAACAAAAGCCCAACAGTGTTGAACATTCAACAACACACTCTCCACTGTATGTGTACGGTTTACACCTCACACCTTCCTAGGAGAGGATAATGACATCTCTCAGACACTCTGATCCCAATTTGCCTAATGATACTACAGTTGACCCGTTTTAACCCTGCCATCCAACACACACACACACAAATGATTTTGCCACTGTACTGCAGAGTGAATAAATCCAGACTTGGATTTTTAAACCGGAAGAGGCCCATTAGATTACTGCTCACTGAGTGGATGGATCATCTGAAGCTGCTAACACAGCGCTCGGCTGGTTTGGAGCCAAGTCTAATTAAGATAAAAGGAAGTGAGTGATGCTAAGCTGAGCGTAAGTCCATTTCCTACGAGCTGTTGTTGCGGGATGAGTCTCTGTGTCTCTGGAGTTGTGAGGGAACGTAAAGGTGGGAGGGGTGGAGGCTGCTGTTTATTTGAATCATTTGTTTTTAAGTGGGATTTGTCAGGAGGGTCACAGCCAATCACATGCTTGTTTAAGACAGAGAGACATGCTGCTCTGGACATGTTCCTTCATAACACTGTCCTATGGGTTTATTACACTTGAGAGATCAGATAAATTAAAAGGAATGTTGTTGGTGGAGCAGGTGAAAAGTTTTACTCCACATTCCACATTCCAACAACTTATCCAATCAGATTATTGTACAGCGAAGTTGCAGTTGGAAAACACTGAGGTTATGGTTCTTTTAATAACAACCTTTACTTCACCACAGCCTGGAATCAAACCTCAAACCTGCTTTTTATCTCATATCATACAAAGACAATTTCAAAATAACAAGCGTCCTACAGAATAATGAACAGATATTGTGTGTTATAATCTTGAAGAAACACTCCGACTCAGCAGATTAAAGACTCACATCGAGCGTCTGGACCACGAGCCTTAAATTAGAAGCAGTGCGCTCTTGTAGCATCTTAGAATAACAGACCCAGAGAAGATCAGGTTTCGCTTGATCTCCAATCCCCTTCCTTCCCCTCTACGGTTACACTCAGAGCCGTGAGACCCGATACTCCTGTACTTTTCAGAGGAAGTACAGCAAAGACAAATACTGCTGCTGCTGTGTTTCTGTGCACTATCACTATCAAAACCCTGTCATGTATCTGAGGGGAAACATCGGGAATGATCGTCAGTCAATAACCTGATACATTGATCGTTTTTATTTTTTTTTCATGATGCGAACACAAGTACCAATACCTCCAACGCATGCATGCACATACGCCACATACGTTATCTGCCAAATCGCTGACCCACTGTTACATTTTCGTACAATTAGGACATCGACCTAGGCCAAGGGTCAGCGCACCATGGTAGAAGTTTATGCAGAGCAAACAAAATCCACCACAGTAGCATATGCTTTTTCTGGGCGGGGGTCTGCATACTAAGCGTATCAGCTGGGAGTGGGGAGAGGTACTTTACAGGCATGCATGTAGTACCTGATCTCTAAAGTACTCATGAGTGCTTTAGAGATCAGGTATCTCCTGCAGAAAAATACACACAAATGATGGACATTTTCAAAAGACTCATGATGACCTGGATTAGTCGTCAATTAGTGACTGTCTTTAACCTGCAACATGAAACTCAGCCATGGTGTTTGATGGTTTACTCGTGCGTTCTCTACACATACGTGCCTGCACAGATTTCTTTGGTGTCTGCATGCATGATAATGTGTATGTGTGTAAATGCGTGTGTGAGCTGCTGAACTTGAAGTACTGTACAGACCTGCCCTGCCTGTAGGACTCACCATTGTGGGACATGCCCACTGAGAGGCACTTCTGGAAGCGGCAGTATTGGCACTTGTTGCGGTTCTTCTTTTGAATCTTGCAGCGGCGCTCACACTTGTCGTACTCCAGCTTCAGGCGGATGGTCCGTCGGAAAAAACCCTAGAAAAATGTAATGGATAGGCACCAACATGAAGCAAAAACTGGGCCTCACCAATATTTTTAAATGTACAACTGAGTAATAACAGCTTTTGTAATTCTATGATAAGCTGATTTTGTTTTGTGGAATGTTAGCTCCACCAATATCACAGCAGTAACAAGGGGTAAACAGTAAAAGGGACTGCATTGGTGGGGTTTGTTCAGGACACGGACAAAGACTGTGGTTGAACAAAAGTCGTAAAATGACCTTTGCAGGTGCTTGTTGAGACGGAGGTTTGATAAAATACTACGTGTAGTGCATGTTTTGTTCTTCTTGTTTTATGACAGTGTAATAAACTGCCTGTCTGTGTCTCCACCTCTGCTTCCTAACTTGCCTTTTCCCTCCCTGTCTACCCTCTCCGTCTCACTGGGATTTAACAATAATTAACTGCAGCACATCGACACCCTGAGTCTCTTGTTTCCATAACTTTTTTTTTAATTATCTGCAATTTTTCATGTTTTATCTATATTTTATGCACTACACACAAGTGCTTGGAAACACAATCTGAAAGGTTCAAGTGAAATTAAATAGATTTGCTCTCTGCACACGCCAAGTAAACCTGACCACTCTCACATCGAACCTGTGGCGTTAAATGAGGCAAGGACAGAATCGGAACAAGATCATCCAAGGTCAGCCTCCTTCTGTTACAGGACAATGTCCAAGCAAAAAAAAACATATGTCAAAAAAACCCATGTCTTTGGTTTCCAATGGTCATATGAGGCTGTTATTACTGAATCCAGATTTCTCCAAAAATGTCTTTCACATTTACATTCAATTTGACTGAATGTAAATGGGTTTACAATTGATTTTTTATCTTTTGCAGAATCACCTGTTAAGTCCTCACAGCTAGAAAGACTGTCAATTCGTTCTGTGGTAAATTAACCCTATTGTGGGGACATCCTCTGAGAATTTAATTTAGATATTTGGGCCTCATTTTGCACAAACAACTGTCTTCACATAAAACATTCTTGTCCTGCCTGCAGTCCAGATCTGTTTAGAACCTTGACCAGTTTATGTGTCACATAAGGCAAGAATGCAGCAAATAATTCAGGCAAAACTCAATGTAATCCAGTTGTTAACATGCTTCCACCCAGACTAATGAAAGACTTCTTTTTGTCCTTTTGTTCAAAAAACATACGGTTTCAATAAAATGTCTTACAAAATTGCAGTGCACTACAATACATGCAGCTGTGTTTCCCATATGTGTACCAACGACTTTAGCCTCAATACTTCAAGTCCATTTAATCATTTTTAGGGTTCTTAAAAAGAAAAAAAAATTAAAAGAGGTAGCATTTCAGATCTGATGCCTTTGAGAAAAAAGAAAAACTCTTAAAATCATAACCTTTAGAATGCATGTAATAGGTTACGATGGTTAGATGCACCTGTAATGACTCCCACCTGACGGGGGATGTCCTGTGAAACACATTAGCCTTGACTTTTGTGCTACAATTTGTTTTACAGCCCGAGAGTTCCACCTTGGACCGTCCATAAGAGACCGACTCTTTACTGCAGTCCTTCTACTGTTTATATGTACAATGGTTAACGGGATGCACACCAGAGCTTATTGCTGAGTCACGGTCAGTTTGCTGTTGCCGACATGCACTAAAGTGAGTTTCTGTTCTCACATTGAGGAATTTTGCCTCATCTGCCTTATTTATACCACAGTAACAACAGATACAATTGCTAATACTCAGAGGGACTACTTACTCCAAGTTCCGCCCTTAAAACCGAAAAGGATGTGCAAAAACATAGACCACTCTACCTTGCAGCCTTCACATGCATGGACACCGTAGTGGTAGCCCGAGGCCCGGTCAGCACACACTCGACACTCCAAAGTGAGCGAAGACGAGGACAACTGCTCCTCCTGACCTGCCGTCAACCCGTAAACCACTGATGAGGGACTGGAGGCCGGCGTCAGGGCATCTGCGAAACAAACAAACGAACAGGGCTGTTGCAGTATTTTGGCTTTAAATGCAGAAAGTTTGGTAAATGTAAGGTCTAATTTCCCTTGTAACTTTGGTAGCTACACACCCTAAATGAGTCGAGTCTTTGCTTTGGCTCTACCCAGTTGTTTCCACAGATACTTCCTCATTTACGTTTTAACATGGGACAGTAGGAGGAGCTTTTGGCCATGGGCAAGTAAAACACAAAGAATGAAACTCTGTGACAACAGACAGTGACAACAGACATGCGTGTTCAAAACTTAAAAAAGCTGTGATAAGAAATAATTGTTCGAGGAAACGTAATTGTTTCCATGGCTTTTTCTCAGTTTCCATAATTGGATATTGGATAGAAAAGGTAATTTCTCCCGTCTATGTATTTTCTCTCCCATTTAAGGAATTGACTTTTTCCTCCACAACAAAAACGTCTTCCAAATGGAACACAGCTGACAAGTCACACGCTGCCACTGGTTTTTATTTACACCTTCAGTTGACAGTGTGGCTTTAATATAACTTTCATACCCACAAATAGCAGCGATGACACGGTACAAAACAGTGTCATTAAGTCAAACCACATGACTCTGTAAGGATACACCAGAACATGTCCAGGCTGAATGAGACAGTGGATCAGTGGCAAAAATCCTGTGTTTGAAGTGACTGAATGTGAACAGGAAAAGTCCGTCAGAGCTTCTTATCCCCTCTTCTCTAATCCTGTCTGTGCTTGACAACACACAGCAGTCCTGAACGCCACCTCAACCATCTTCTTTCCATGACATCATCAAATGTTCCTGTGGTGCTCCCCCTCCCCCTTACATTTGATTCTTTCGCTTTCTCTCTTTTATGTCGCTCAATAACAACAAGGTAAATGTTTGTCTTTTGAAGATCTCTGAAATCCGACGCTTACGCAACACCACCATAAACATTCCATATGTCTACGGCACTTTTTTTAAAGAAGAAAACACATAAGTAACTGAGGTGTAGCATGTAATGGCTGAGAAATGTGTGGATTCCTTAGTGGGTATGGGGTGCAAAGAGGGGCTGCAGGCAGACAGGACGGAAAAACTAGGGTGTTGGGAAAATTAGAGGTTGATAAGGAAGGAAAACATGTTGAAAAGTAAAGGTAAAAAGCGACACAGAGGAATGTGAAATATGTGACATGTCAGTGTCGGAGCAGTACGCCCACTCTGTCAACATGACATCTTTGGAAGAGACATGTTTTAAATGATTACACTGAGCCCATTTTCACCTAAGAAGGTGGAGCTCTCTGAGCCGTTGCTGGAGGAGTGGTACTCAGGGACATCCAAGGAGCTGAGGGCATCATCGTCAATGGACTGGGAAATTTCCTGGAGCTCCTCCATCCCGTCCATGAACTCGTCACCGGTGCACAGGGGGCTGTCCAACACCGAGTCCTCCAGGGGAGAAGGGGGGTGGTAGTGGCTCTCCATGTCAACCATTGTGGTGGAGGTGCAGACGGCCAGCACTCTTACTCATCGGACTGGGGAGAAAGACAGTAAAAGGGTGAAAACATGGGTCAGATATGGGATTTTTAAACAAGTTATTTTGTCTGTAATCATTGAATAAATCGATCATGTCAAAGCTCCATTAGTGGCAATGATGTAACTTGTAGCTGTCCACTCACGCAGGTTATGTGTAATTGACTGGGTCAGCAGGCGATGGATGAGTGAAAGACATGGAGTATCTAATGACATAACACACACACACACACACACACACACACACACACCACTCCACTGGGCTATCTACTCTAAATACAGTAACTTTATCCTCGCAAACTGCAGAAACAGAAGGACCCAGGACAGAGGGAAACAGAGAGGGGGACAGGGACGTGTGGAGGAATGAATGTAGGTCAGTGGACTGGCTCAGGGTGAGTTGTGATAGAAGTGTAGTTTGAGGTGATGGCGGGAGGGTCTGGAGGGGTGGCGATCACTTAAAAGAAACAGAACCGACAAGTACAGTACAGAGGGGCCCGAAATACAAGTTGCATAAGTTACAAGTAAGTAACTTTTTTCAAATTTTTCCTCGTGATACAAGGAGTTACGAGTGCTTTAACTGAGCTCCATTTTTCCACTCGACAAAGTCGCGCTGTCTCGATCACTGTCCCTCGGTGGTTTCTTTTACCCGTCACTTTATTTCTCTCTCTCTCTCTGTCTCTCTTTCTATCATCTAAATCAAATCGTCACTCCCAGTCCTTCTCCTACCTTAGTGGCACCGACACTGTGTTGCAATAACAATATTATAAAATGTTTTCCAAATTATTAATATTATTTTATATTATCAATATATTTGTTTATATCTCAGTTTCTGATGTTTAGAGGGGGGTCAAGTTAATTAATTATTACTATATTTCTAGGGGGCTGGAACCAATTAATTGGTTTTTAGTTATATTTAATGGGGAAAATGCAAACGAGATACGAGTGAATCGACATACGAGTGCTGTTGTGGACCGGATTAAACTCGTATCTCTGGGCCACACTGTAGACAGATTTTGCTGAATAGCAAAAGGTAGACAGGAGGTAGGAGGAGGTGTGTGAGGGCCCGCCCTGCATTTTTACACTCTACATGTCTCCACGTAAACTGGGTCAATCTTTGGTAAGCCCTTTCTGTCAGCTCACCCATCTCATAAGAACATGAAACAAGGAAGGAGGGAGGGGAGGGAGGTGAGGAGGGGGGTAACGTTAGCAGTAATACTGCTTTAAGATAGCAGCTGTCGTTGTTCTCAGCCATCCCAGGCCACTACACGTCTTTGGTTTAACCTTAACTTAACTCCTGTGGACAGGGTGCACCATGTGAGACTGACAGCACGTTCCAAATAGTTCTGCTGTCATGTTCGGTCTATTTACAGGTCTGATGACATAAACAAAGTAGCAACAGAAGGTATGGATCACTTACTGATGATGTACGGGCTCGGCCTCTCTTTCTCTCTCAGGAAGGTATATGTAACAAGGTATATGTGTTTTCCTATTAGACAGGATACACTTTATATTGTGATGTCATAGGACCTTGTGATCCACTTTTAGAAAGGCACACACTATTCTACAGATCAGTCAGTCTGGTGGCCTGTGTATTGAGTCCTCGTCTAAATACACAGCATGTGCAGGTCTAACATACATGACACACATTCATGACCCTCTACCAGTGAAAAGGTGGACCAAGGTTACCTCATGTTGCCCCCAACACAACATGAGAATGTAAACATGCAGAACTCCTCACCTGTAGGTTGCAGCGGTCTGTGGGACACAGGAGGCGTGAGTGTGTGTGAATGTGTGTGTGTGAAGAGGAACGTCACTCAAGCTAAATTACACAGCCATTAATAGCCGTGTGCAAGTCAGAATGAGCCAGTGAGACAAAGTAAAAAAGAAAAAAAAGTGGGTCCTATGGCAACAGCAAACCTTTGCCCTTGAGGTCAAGACCTTCCCTGCTCACTCATCGAGCCTGCTGTGGGCACTGTGCACGGTCAATGGAAGATGAGTCAGGTTATACATGGCTGTGTGCATGTCACAGAATGGGAGGGTTAAAGGGACAAAAGAAAACAAAAAATCACCAAGGGTTCTTTGACAATGGCTTTGCAATGCTACCATATGGCTGACATTTGAAATCACGGACAGAGAGAAGTTAAACCAACGAAAAACCTAAAGTTGGTTTCAGGTTTTTTTTTTTTTTTGGGTTTTTTTTTGCCATTAATAAATCAGAATGTGGTCATTTGAAAAAAGATTGACACACGTGCAAGTATATCACTGACTACATGCTGGACACATGGTCATATAGTCTTAATAATCCATGTGGTCACCCAGCCCCCACAGCACAGGCATCCGTTGCAGTTGTGATCTACATTAGACAGACAGGCCATGGAATAGCCACTAAGCCCCTGTGTGGGGCTGATAAACAAGCTCAGGCAACCTGTTACCTTTAACAGAACAGGACAAACAGCAGATAACGCCCAGAAAATGCAAGTAATGTGGCCATACGACCAAACCGTTGCTGGGTTTGATGTGGATAATGATTTCTGCTTTACCATCAGGACAAAGTTAGTTAGTTATTTAGTTAGTTAGTTAGTTAGTTAGTTAGTTAGTAAGATAGATAGATAGATAGATAGATAGATAGATTGCTTTTGTTTGGGTGTTCCTTTTCTTTACTTGTGTTGTCTGACATAAAAAAAGCTAAAAGTTCTGTAAAAACATCTGCCAAAAATGCTTTATTGCACTTCCAAATTAAACAAACCGCATGTTCATCACACAAACGCAGCGTCACGCAGTACATATCCTATGCCACTTATTTACAGTTACAGGAATATGACAGGTGGTTCCTGTGGCCCTCAGGTAACCTGCAATTATCTGATCAAGGCACACATTAAAAAGTATGGACACCTTTGCTCTGAGTGACAGCTGAAAGGATGTTGTGATTTTATGCGTGAAGATAATTTCCTACTAAAAATAGATAACGAGCATGAGAACAAGGAAACACAACAAGAGGTGGAAATCGAGAAAGATGTCAGCGTTTGTCTCACAAAAGTGTATAAAACATTTTAAAACAGGGTACAGAAACATGCACTACTTCTCTGTGTGATAATAACAGAGGCTCCTGGCACTAATACTGACTGTTATGGTAAGAAACATCTTCAGATTAAGTGTCAGGACTAAATAAAATAACATACCTTCCTCAACAAAAAAAACTTCCAATCAACTGCGACAAAAACACAGACATATAAAATCCAGCTCTTCCCAGAGTTTGTGTGATAATTCAGTGTGTTTGTGAGCGAATGTGTGAAAGAGCCAGAGTTTGTGTCGAGACAGGATTACAAGTTAATGTTTAATCATCTCATCCTGCAACCTGACTGACAGGTCTGTAAGAAGAAGGGCCCTGGAGGTTTTAATGGTGGTATTAGAGTGGGAATATGGGCTGATAGGGCTGACGTCCCGCCTATTCTCCCTGTCCATTTGTTTGAACTCTTCAAACAAATGGACATGAGTGAGGTCTGGACCGTGCCCGCAGTGTAAACACTCGGTGAGAGCCTTATCACTTTAGGGCTGATAGGCTGGTCTTCACCCGCTTATCACGATGGCATATGGTTAAAGTGCTGGCAGTGACAGTGATTGACATTGGACTTTGACTGAGGTCTGACAGATTCACCACATCATAACAAACATTTCAATCTTTTTGCTATCAGGTCATTGCCTTGTCACGTGAGTGACCATGACACAACTAATCAATGCACGCTGCTAATTTTAGATCTTGGCTAAACTGACACAATCCTTTATTGTGAAATGTATGAAAAACCATTTTATGCAATCAACACTTATTAACCTGAGACTTGAACAACCTTAAGGCTTGATGTGAGGTAACTTACAATTTCAAACGTTGCCAATGTGTATTGAAGAACACACATTTGCTGTTCTGGCATCGGTTGCTGTTCTTTGACTCACATTGTTATGACGTGTGAGATATTTTTAAAAGGTGACAGATGTGGTCTGCAGGTAATCCCGTAAAGCCCAAGCACTCTCTAAAACACCATGCCACATTTAGGGAAAATGAGGCCTGACATTGTTCCGCCAAACACTTTTCATTTTCTCTGGTCTGGTACATTCAAGATGAGTTTAGGTTACTTAACTTAAAAGGTTGTTTTTGGGGGTTTTTTATACACTGTATGTGAAAAAAATAACATTTATCCTGCTACACATTTTGGTAAAACAACTGCAATTCTAACACAATGTTATATCCCGACTCTGACCCTTTTCAACACATTATCTGATGCAATGAGTGAAGAACTTAAGCCACCTCCATAAACCTCCGTGGACTCTGACCCCAGCACTGACAGCGTGTTCAATGTTAGAATATTCGACAAATGTCCACACGACCTCACAGGACACACATAGTATCTGACCAGTAAACCCTGCAGGAAGTGCGGTGTGACAGTGTTTGGTGTTACCTCAAGGTCTACTGTGACCTTAACCTTCATGCTGGATGTTAAAAGAACAGCACTGCATTGTGTTAAATGTATGTTGTGGAAGAAAAAGAATGAGATAAGCGACTCTAGTCAGAGGTGACACGAACTTAAAAAAAGGCATTTGAGAAGGTATTTAAACCAACACGAGCTGAATATTTGGAACCGATCCCCCGGCTTTTAGACCAGACGACTTTGTGGGACCTAAACCTAAAGCAGAGCCACAGCTTGGCTACAGCAGTGTGCTTCATGTTTTTGCAGCTGAACTTGGCAGGTCCGACCCTCACTGTTTCCAGCTGCTAAAATCACCAAGGCTAACGACACTGTCCTTAAGCAACATATCCATCCACAGCCAAGTTCTAACTCTCGGTTGCCACTTTGTACTTATTTCTAAATTGCTCACACAGACCCAGCAGCCACCGACCCCCACACAGAACCTCCAGTTGAAGCAAAGGGTACATTTCTTTATGGACGATTCTGTCTTTTCAGCAGAATTTATGACCCCAGAGATTTCGCTCTAGTGTACCAATAACTTTGGTTTACCTAAGGCCCTATTCAAACCTGATGTTAATATCAATTTGTACCGACTGGAGCCTTTGAACACAGTCGTAAGTACCACAGTTAATACCTTGTATTCAAAGTTCATGCTGACAGAAGAATAGGGGGATATTTAGAAGATGGTAGTGAGACCTGCTATGATGTATGGTTTAAAGAGATGAAGTTGGAGAGATGAATTGGAGAGGGGTTGCACATGTGCCGAGGAGAGATAATGAATATATAGGGTAAAGTACTGCATGTTAGAGATGAAGGCGTCTCACATGAATCTAGAGTCAGTCCAACATTTCCATAGGACCAAGTTATACATTTACGTGGGCCTCACCCTCTAGATAAGAAATGAACCTTATTTTAATCACTTCTGATTTAATGTACACAAAACCACAGCTGAGTTATTAATCTTTGGATTTTTGAAGTCACGTCTTCAATCTATTGAGTCTCTTGTCCCTGAAAACCCTCATTATTTTAAATAGTATGAAGAAAAAAACCTACAAAGGAGTGCACGCCAGGACACCATCATACACTTGTTAGGATTACTTTGTACTATTCATACACCCTGGTAGTGACAGCGAGACACCTAATTCTACTAACCAACTAACTCTCTGTTGCAAAATTATATTAAACTCAATCATTGACTAATAAATAATTTGCAGACTTTGTCCCATGGTGAACACTGCAACACAACATCATCAAGTTACACTTCAGATCTTTCAAAAATAATACGTCCAAATGTGTTTGCAACATTTGTGCAGACAGTCAGTCTACCTTCTGATGGATTAACAGCATTTATAATAAAACAGACAATGTGAAGAAAAAGTGAAACCAGAAATCTGAAAACCCCAGATGACAAAACGAGGCCAGGAGAGTTTCTCCTCCCCTCCAACAGCTGTGTGTATCTTGTTTCATTTTCCAGCATGACACTGTGGAGTCCTGAGTTCCCCTTTTCTGGCTGCCAAATCACTCCACGTGTTTGTCGGGAGGCATGCAGCACGCATGCCTGGTGAACAAAATTAATTTTGCCACAGTAGCAGGATCACTATGTACTATAAAAGGAATGTACTTGTCTCACTCAGGCTCGACGGAGCTCAGGGTAGAACAGTTTGACACTGGGCTTATGTACACATTGTTGTATGATTGTAAACTGTATGTATGATTGACTCATACAGACTGCTGGCCAATGACAGATCCATAAAAAGTCAACAATCCAACCCTTCTTGCTCTAAATCATGTCTTGTGTGATCAATTACATTTTCCCATCACATTTCCACCTCATTATTGAAATAAAGATCTGTGCATTAACACTTACTTACATGGCTAAGCAACTGGAACTATCCTCCAGGAAATGTGCAGGAAGACTTTTTTAATCAATGAATGGGTGTGGAATTTAATAATAAAAATTTAATAATCAAAATTATTATAATCATTTCATTTCATTTCATAATCATCATATAATCATTGTTTGAAATATTTCTTTCAAGATATAAACTGGCTGCAGATAAGTCATAAAGTGAATTCACTGCTGGTTTTTAAGTGTCAAATCTTCCACCGTGTTCTTTCTCTGCAAGAATTCAAGAGACAACCTGTGCACATCAGCACGATGACGTCTGTTTTCTTTTTTGTGTTTAAAAGCCAGTCCACCTACTTCCTTGTTTGAATGCAGCCAAGCAGAAGTTGATTAACTCTCTCAGGTTTCAAACCCTGACTAGTGCAGCCTGGTCAGACAGAAACCTGCTGTTGCCTTAAGGCTGAACACACACAGGTACATTTCTGAGCAACACTTTCATATGGTGTCTTTAAGATCTACGATGCATTGGATTGTCTCAATAACTAAACAGTTTGACTTGATATGTACATTTCATACATTTCAACCAGTAAAGCTCTACTCCAATGACAGAAATCAATCTTTTTATTTATTTTTTTTCTCTTAAAAATTAACTTTATACTTACAGGTATGTTACCAAAAGATGGATTTGCAATCATTGTTTACCCAAGGTTTGACACAACCACATGGAAAGATACAGTTTTACAGAGTATTTATTCACTCTGTACTGCAGTATATAGCTTGTGTTTCCGTACATCGATAAGATCAACAACAATCTCTGTTTTTCTAATGACTTTTACACCACTTTCGCCGTGAAGATAAACTGAGCAAAAATGATTCTGCCTATAGACCTTTGGTCGCAGTGGAAATTCCACATCAATGTGGAGCCTGAGTTAGCAAACACAGGTGAAAGCCTGGCACACAGCACAGATTTAGAACCTGTTTTTTTAGAACAGCAAAATTCACTGGCTGTTTTCATGACACCTTTAAAATGAACAAAAAGACCTTGAAATATTTTCTGATTGCATATATTGAGAATGTGATATTGATTTTTTTTTTATGGCTTATAATCCCATTTTGATGTCACAAATTTCTAGAGACCCCGGGATACTTTTTATTTCTAGAATTAGTTTAGTATCATGTTTGTTGGAGTAGCCAGATTCGTGATCACAAAGTGACTTTTTATTTTCCCCGATCCCATGTACAGCTAGGTGAGCTGAAAATCAATACTGAACAAACAATCTCTCGAACAATGAATTATGAAAAAAAACTATTATTTTAAACTGGCCACAGTGAGGATTTGACCGATTTTAAGATAATGCATATTTTTTTAATATATTTTTTATCAATTACAATGACATGGCATTCCAGGCCACCCTACTTGAATTCCAGGCCACCTAAGGGAAAACACTGATGTAGAGGATTGGGGTCAAATTTCAAGACCATCGATATAATTTCCGTCTATAAAAGAACCCAATCAAAAGAACTGTTTCCACCTGGGATGATCACTTATCATACAGCCATACACTCAACTGATGTTCTGTACACAGTGGTGAAGAATATCCCTCAACACATAATTCACTTGCAGTAATACAATTATTTTGGCTGCAGTTAACAGGAACACCTCTAAAGAACAGACGCTTTTGATAGAAACAAAAAAGGGACTACACATAGAAATGGGATACAAAATGATTTTACACTGTGTACCTTTAAGGTGCATCACACGGTGAGGTTATTTCAGGTAACAGAAAAGTGAAAAGAAAATGAAAAAAAAAAAGTGCTCAGCTTTATTCACCGAATAACGCAATCAATTCCCAGAGGTAGTGATGGATGTATATTTACATTAAGGCTCAGTTAAGTATGACCTCGCCTGGCACTCAGCTCTGAGTGGTGCATGACTACAACAATAGAAGGGAGAGGGGACTCATGGGGTGAAGACAATTGCTTAAGGGTAACACCATGTTATTAAACCATGGATCCTGATGATTGGCTTGTTGTCAGTCCAACCACAGAGCAGGGTTTCTAAAGTTTAATAAACGTTTTTAGGCCTTTTTAAAATATGTAAATACACAAACAAAGTCATGCTATGAAAATACTAAAACACGGACTGAGTAATACTGCACTTACCTAGCTTCACGTTATGCTGTGAATGGGTGTGGGTGTGTATCCTGACAACAACAACAACAGACAGGTATCATACAGTAAACATGAAAGATACAGCAGATGTTATTCGAATTATTTTTAGATGCAAATACTCCTCTAAAGGTCTGATCACATCTGTAGTCAAAATTTGTCCTGGCTCAGATCCAACAAACTGTGATTTAAATGCAATGATACTGTTTTCTAGATTTGGTTATTGCAGTATTCTTTCTAACCATGTGGAAAATATATCAGTGGTGAGTCTGTGTACACTTGAACTCGTACTAAGATAAGATGTGTTTGATCTCATACAGACGTAATGAAATGACCACCTTCATCCTTATCTGCTGATTCTCTTCATTAAAAAAACAAAACATTTTTGTGAGTATAGAATAAAAAAACACACACCTAAAAAGAGAAAGTATGATCTGAACTGGAAAAGTACTGATGCTGTATCAAGAACCAGATCCGGTCCCTAAATTTATAACAACAACACTGTTCCACAGACCTTCAACACCTGCTCACTGACTGTTATCACAACTTCCTGTAGTTCTTCCAAAGTCATTGATTTAAATGTTGGCAACAGTATGCCCCCACTTGACAGGCTGCCCTCTGGGTCTAATTTATGATCAGGTTTGGTGCAGCCTATGTTTTCTTTTCTACAGTCTTCTATTTAGCACACAGCAAGACACTGTCCCTCTGTCGTTATTGTCACTGTTTATCTGTCAGAGAGGAGAAGGAAGAGGGGAGGAGAGGGAGGAGGGAGTGAGAGACAGAGGCCTGTGAGCACTTCACTTATGGCTGCTTCAGATGGAGGCAGAATAGGCAGCCTTTGTATGGAGTGAAGATCTCATCAGGAGCTTACATCCCAGAGAAACGTTACTTAAGGCTCGGACATGTAACTTGTGCAGGAGTGCAAGCTAAAAACACCTGATTACAGCGAAGTGGAGTCGAAACATTAAAAAACAATAAATGAATCTGGCTCTGAAAAGTGTAAACAACTGTGTGCATGCTTGTCGCTGCGCACACACAAACACACAAACACACACACACACACACACACACCCCACACTACCTGCACCCTGCACTGTTGCTCCTGGGCTGCAGCCCACTGCCCGCATTCCCCCACACTCAGTTCCTCTGCTGCTGGCAGTGCTGGTGCAGCAGGAGGGTGCACTCTCCCAACAAAACAAACCCAAAACAGGCCAAACGAGGACAACTACCTTGCAATGATCAGCAAGAAGCGTCGCTGCCATATCTCTGGAAATCTTCGCCTGGATGAGAAGCGTTCAGTGCCGGATGGAGAGAGAGAAGAGGGGAGAGAGGAGAAGGACAAATCGTCGTTTCCAGCCCTAGGTTCGTGTTTGTTACCCAGCAGCGCTGCCGCTGTCAAAAAATCCCCCACCACCTCCATACAGAGCAGAGCCGTGAGGTTCACACCCGCCGGACGTGACGACACGACCGACAAGAGGGCTGGCTGAGATGAGACACACACCCCCGTGACACACCTATGGTTTGGGCGAATAGAATGAAGAGTTTCTGGTGAGAAGGACGCCCCCTAACCGCCGTGACAGCCGGATTACTAGGAAATAATATTAAGTAGGAGCAAATCCACATTCAGAAGAAAGGAACATAATAATACATAGAGGGGTGATGGGATCCAAACCCACAACTTTCTTGCTTCAACAAGCTTCCAACAAATAGTTTAGCAAATACTTTAGTAGTTTCTACTGTATATAAACTGTATATACAGAATACACGAGTCTATACTTAATATTGAATATTTTATCACCAAGTCTGAACTCCTCCAAACCGGTAGGTTAATAGTTTACAAATGTTAAAATTATAATAGTGCATATCAAAGTGGTGGGGATTTTTCCAGAAAATCTGAGCTTGGACTAAAGTTGCTGCACACCTCCCATCTGAATGTGTTGTTGTCCAGTTAAATTATGAAATCAATTTCACAACATTGACCAACATAGTCCATCCTAGCTCCTGCCAGGGACTGTGTGTAAGTGACACCTCCCTGCTGTGTTGTTACCTAATCCAGCTATCACTGCAGTCTAGCCATGTCTTTTGGCAAACCCAAATGGGTGTCAGTCTGTCTTTTGCTTCAGGCCTCGGGGCACTGCTGGCAGCTCTACAGTAACAATGGCGCCACAATAAAACCGTCACAACCTGCACGTACCGTCTGGAGTCACATGCACCATGGCTTCTTCTTCATGGGTAGACTCACATTAAGGCAAAGCTTTAATTTAACACTTGTTACCTAACTGCTTTTTGCAGCTTTATTGTTGTTTAGGATTTACAGTACTGTTTATCACAAGAGGTGCAGCCAAACCGATGAGCCAAGTAGAATTTTTTAATATTTAAGGGTTTGCCTCACATTGTATAATTTCTGCTTAGTGCCTTTTGGGGATTGGCTTTGTGCATATATTTTCAATTTGAACACTGTTGCTTAAATAGGGGTTAAGTTCCTGAGAGTTGTTTAGTTCTTGTTAAGACATCACTCAGGTTAGACTAGGTTAGTCTGTGCAACAGCTGGAGTCCCAAGGGAAATCTGAGTAGTTTACACATCATATTAATAAAATGAGTACTGCCCAGAGCTATGACATTAGGTCTGTCTCTCAACTGAAATGTTACTAGTAATAAATAAAGGTTTTTTAGTGTAGCTATAATTTAAAATAAGAACACATTATTATTATCATCATCATCATCATCATCATCATTATCATCATTATTATTATCACAATCATTATTATTATGATTATTATTGAGATCGGTGAGAAGATTCAACGTTAAAAGATCTCTGCTGCCATCCAGCTGTAGTGACGTGTAGTGCTACCAGAAACTACTTTGAAACTTTTAGCTTAAAGGGGTTGATACCTCTCAGAGATCTGTGGAGGCGCCAACATCACTTCATGCGCCCATTGTTACCATGGTGATTGACCACATGAAATTAACTTCAGGTAATTGTAAATGTCCATGAAATATTATTGTTTTTTACACCTACGTGAAACTTTTAAAAAGTTCTGTATAACCATAAATGGACTTGATGAAAAAATTATAAGTATCACCTATTATGTTATAAATATTCCGCCATAAAAATAAAATAAAAAAAAATTGAAATTAATATCGTAATGGCAGGAGTTTATGGTTAATCATCATATTTTAATATTTGCATCACTGATACTGTTAGGAACGCAGCAGTCTTATTGTTATTTTTTAATAATTGTTTTCATTTTTACAATAACAAAAGGACATTGATATGATATATCCAGTCCATTTCCGGTATCTAGGTAATGGCCATTATTAAGAAATTGCACCAGCACCACCTACAGGCAACGATTTATCCAGTAGATGGCAGTCTTGCCCATAGCCATATGTACCTGTATGAGCGAGACATACATTTTAAAATTTAAAATGGTGATAATAATAATTTTCTATTAAATAACATACCTGGGATATTTATGTTCATCATTTTATAAATATGTTGCTGTGTTGCCATGTATTTTATACTATGTAGTACATTGCTTGTACTGTATATTCATCATGGTACGGACTAATGCCAGCAAATCTATTTGTCTGAAGGCTTCAGTGTTTTTTCTTTTTCATTTTAGTGATGGCACTCAGTGGTTTATTTGAGAGGCCTACCCACATACACCCTTCAGCCCTATCCACTTACATGCAATCAATAATAGCATTCCATTTTTATGGCTATGATATCATACAAGGTTCATGAAAGCACTGCTGAGAGTATTATCCATTTGGCGTCCTGTGTGTGTTGATATGGCATTTGATTCTGACCTGCGTATCTCAGACCGAGACTCAATAGCTTTTCATTAGTTCCTTATTTCATGGGAGGCCGATATATCAGGGGAGAATGTCAAAGCTATTTGCAAAGTGATTTCTGGATGAAGCAGTGGAGAAATACTTTGTCTTCACTCGGGTCAAGGCTCGAACAGTTAAAAACATAGAAACATAGTTCAGTCTTCCACCTTCCAACTACAACAAAGATTACATTTATTATCATAAGACCTCTGTGTTTGTAGGCCACAGTGCTAAACTATCTGACCTTTGACTCGTTAGTTGCTGTCACTTCACAATCGAAGTGAATATAAAACTGATTTCCTGACTTCAGATCAGGGTTGAACGACAACAGCAAGTCTGACCTTGATATGAAATACAAGGCCACGGTCTTAGACAGTGAGGCATGTCTGTAGACCAAGTTGGCTTGTTACTGGCTGGCATTTGCACCAACCTCCATCTGTTTGTGTGTGTGTGTATGTGTGAACTATTGGCCAGAGAGCAGAAGGCAGTACAGTAACCATCATCTGTTGCCATATGAATCACTCTGCAGCCCTGGAGATCTCCAGTCCTGGATAGAGGATTCCACACCAGAATGTGTTAATGATGTTTCCTCTGTTTCCTGCAAGAACACTAGGGTTCAGTCGTGCAACCATTCAGTCATCTACGAATCTTGTAATGTATTAAAAAAAAACCCACAAAACAAACAATTCATTTTCAGGTTCTTTATTCGTCAATGTGGGAGGAAATCAAATGTCATACATCAAAACAAACAGATTTACCTGCTGCTCTGCTGATTGGACGACTGACTTTGAAAGAGCTGCACCTGATGTTCCTGTGCTGGGGAAGGTGATCTTGTTCACTGTGTTAGAGTCATCCTGTTGTCTGTGTGTCGTCTCTAAGGTGAAGTATTGCTGCCCTTCAGGGAAGGCAGTAGGTTGTATAGTTATCTCCTGTTTGGGCGAAATCACTACCCTGAAACCACACAACCTACTACCTCACCCCGTACGAACACCAGAAAGCTCAGACTGGCTCCCAGGCTGCGGTACAACGTGTTATCTCAGATGTACATGCACACAACAAACACATACTGAAGGCAGAGATTACATTGTGTGACATAAGATGTGATGTCATCAGTTGATTGATGTGTGTTTGGCCCAAATAAAACCAGACTTAACACGTACAGTAAGACATTTATTAATCATCAAGTTTGAGACAGAATTCAACTCTTTGTCACTCAAACACTGACATGTGACTGAAACATTCATTCCAGTGTTGATCCTTCAACATCTGAAGACATTACAGCCACTTCAGGAAAGACAGTAAGTTGTATAGTTATCTGACAGGAAGGGTACAACCCTAAAACTATACAACCTACTACCTCACCCCAAAGGACAGTCTTCTTTCAGGTCCTCGTCGATGCAGAACAGTGTGCTTCGACACACCTCACTGATGACAAAACAGCAGTTATCATTCATGGAAACACAAAGCACACGTCAGTATGTCTCTGCTGGGACGCCACACAATTGTGACAGCGGCCTTTGTGTTCAGAAAACAATGTGACAGCCGGGTCATCCAGTTCACAGCTCCAGCTGAAGGGGAATTCAAATGATGCAGGACGGTACATATGTACCAGGGAAATTATATGGCCAAGACATGGCCATATTCAAAATACAAATGGAATGTAACTCCACAGGCACTGTGGTATTTTAGGTTTTAGAAAATTACATTTCTTCAGTTTGTTCAACTCCATACTGAAGTTGTTCACTGTCAGTGCCAGAAGGTGGAAACGAAGACACTGAACTCCAGTGCCTTCATAAAATGTATTAGATCAGTGGTTCTCAAACTGTGGTACCCGTACCACCGGTGGTATGGAGGGAAAACTCATATTTTAACATTTACATTTTCAATTGAAGATGATGCTGCTGTATTCTAATGTTGGTCATCATGGTGGTACTCAGAGAGATCAGTGTTTTCTCAGGTGGTACAGAGGAGAAAACGTTGGAGAACCACTGACCTAGAGCTACACAGAGCTACAGAATACTCCACAGATACTCTCTCTGTAGCTCAGAGAGGAGAGTGTTAACATTAGTGACCAATGTTAAGAGTGGGCGAGCTGGAAGTAGCTCATATTTTGGCCCACATGTGTGGAGCAGAGGGCCACAGCTGCTGCTGCCTCTGTTAATGTTTCTCACCTGCTCAGTAACATGCAGTGAAGGAGGGGGTAGGTGGACGATGGTGGTGGGGGCACAGCGGCCCATCACCACCTCTCTCCATCAAGGTTTTCGTGTCGCTTCTGTCTGAAAGTCTTCAAATGGGATAACAAAATCTACCAAAGACAAAAAAAGAAAAGGAAAACTTATTTTTTCAGGTGATGTTTTTTCTTATAGCTCAGCGGTATGAAATATTTCCTTTTTACGTTGGTAACAGAGCAAGTATTTCTCCACTGCAGGGGGTGCTATAAATGTAGTTTGAATGTCAGCGCTACTGCTGGAAAAGCTTTTTTTTTTCCCAATCTTGAACATTTTTCTGAAGTTTCTCAGTAATAATAGTTATTATGACAAGATTCTAATAGAGTTAGGTGAAAGTCACCACAGACATCACAGCAGGACAGGAGTACGGTTACCATGGTGTCCTGTGGTTTATGGAGCTAACCCTTAGCTTAGCCTTACCCTTAGCTCAAGTTATGACTACTTTGTATGGTAGCAGAAGTTAGAAGCGTTGGAGTTGCATGAACACTACATATAAATAACAATTGTACCTATAACCGTCCCTACGCTAGCAAAGAAAACAAGGACAAACTATACGTGTACAATTTCTTATACATCTTTTTATTTGTGTGTTCTATGAGGACACCTTATCAAACTGTCACTTTAACTTCAGCTGCCTCTCTAACTACATTAGGCCTCTGTAGTAATAGCTTTGAAAGCAACACGTTGTTGTCGGTGCGTCCGAGTCTCCCTGCATTATTCAGCACAGCCATTCTTACA